GCCTTATGCTGCACAAACTCTCCAAAAGCCATTACCATCGGTCAATGCAAATTCCTGAGCTTCAGACTCTAGCCTTGTCCTCAGCACCTGGGTTATTACAAGGTTGCCTTCCCCTTCCCATGCTGCCCCTCACCCCATGCACTACCTCCAGACTGTGCCCACCACCACCACATTAACAACATGCAAGACTCTGTGCTGGCTGCTTCCATCCTTCTCATGAATGCCTTGCTGTCATTCAGGCTTCAACTTTCAAATGCCACCTCTTCAGCAAGAATCTTCTTGCCGGGCTGGAGAGATGGCTCAGTGGTTAAGAGCACTGCCTGCTCTTCCAAAGGTCCTGAGTTCAATTCCCAGCAACCACTTGATGGTTCACAACCACCTGAAATGAGATCTGGTGCCCTCTTCTGGCCTGCAGGCATGCAGACCACTGTATAACTTAATAAATTAAATACCTTTTAAAAATCCATTTAAAAAAAAAAAAAAAAGAATCTTCTTGCCAGCTAACCACTGTCCAGGCTCTTCCTGTGGTCATCGGCGTTATTCTACAGAATCCAGCATCTTATTTTTGAGTCACAGTTTTACTGCTCAGGCTGGACTTATACTCAAGATCTTCCTGTTTTGATCCCCCTTAAGCTTGGATTAAAAGTATATGCAACTACACCCAACTTTAGAACCCAGGTTCTCCTTAGTACCAAAGAATGGCTTTACCCTCCCAACCCAGTGAGGCTCGTTCATGAGCCTTGGAGGATGGCACTGTCAATAAAAACACAGGCTCCCACAGGGAGCACTGTGTGTTCTCGCAGGGGGTGGTCTAGAGACTGTGGGCTTAGAGGCTCTCACCAGTACAGCAGCACTTCCCACAGTTGTCATTGTTGGTGGCCCCTTTGACTGTGCCTGCACAGGCTGGGGCTGGGCCTGGACCTGGGGCTGGGACTGGACAGCAGGCTGTCCTGCTGGTGGCTGGCTGCCTGTTGCCTGTGGCTGTGGCAGTGGTGGTGGTGGCTGCTGTGGAGGTGGTGGGGGTTGCTGCTGCTGCTGCTGCTGTTGCTGCTGCTGCTGCTGTTGCTGCTGCTGCGGCTGCTGCTGTTGCTGCGGAGGGGGTGGCTGCGTCACAGGTGGCTGCTGTGCCTTCTGCTGATCAGCCAAAGCCTAGATGGGTCAGACAGAAAGAGAAGCTGCTAAAGGAGCTGGACCCAGCCCTGGGTGACAGCATGTCACAGCAGCAAGTTTCTGAGAGGACCCAAAGTCCAGGGCACCATACCTTTTTCTCTTTTGCAATTCGCTCTGCACGGAGAGACGCAACTTGAATAGGAGGCAGTGGTTTGTCATAGTTGATTCCACTGAAAGGTAAAAAGTTCTCTTATCTACAGCTTAGGTTACATATATCAGCCATGATCAAAAATATTACTTGGAAAATTCTAGAAACAATTCATTAGTATTTTGTCCTTTGTTTTTTTAAACAGATTTATTTTTCTTAACTATGTGTGGGTGTCTGAGCTTATGCACATGAATACAGGTGTCTATGGAGGCCAGAAGATTCCAGGGAGCTGAAGTAAGAGGTGGTTGTGAACCACCTGACATGGGTGCTGGAAACCAAACTCTTAGCTGCTGAGTCCTATCTCTAGTCTCACACGTCACCGGTTTGAAACTACATATTGTCCTGAATAGTTTGATGAAAACAGGCACTGTCCCATTCATTCCAGCTCAGGACGGAATGAGCTGTGTTTTGGTCCACGGTGTCCATACTGAATACACTACTTATACACACTACTCATTCTGTCATAGTCTCAGCTACCAGACTGACTATATTTCAGGTTTGTGTTAAAAACAAACAGCCAGGCGTGGTGGCACACGCCTTTAATCCCAGCACTGGGAGGGCAGAGGCAGGAAGGTATCTCTGAGTTTGAGGCCAGCTTGGTCTACAAAAAAGTTCCAGGACAGTTAGGGCTGTTACAAAGAGAAACCCTATTCTGAAAAACAAAGCAAAAACAAACAACAATCAAAAAAACCCAAACGAAACCTGACTTGACTTAATAATACAAAAAAAAAAGTGTAATGTTGGGAATGTGTAGATACCAAGAATAAGTCAAGTAATGCTTAAGTGAAAGGTTTTTACTACAGAAACAAAACAATACACAGAGGTAGTGGCTTCTCCTCAGTCTGGAGGCTGAGGCCAGAGGATTACCACAAAGTTCAAGGCCAGCCTATGTTAAGGCCTAGTCTCAAATAGAAAGCAAATACAAACAAAACCGCCAGGATGCGCCGTGACGTTCAGTGATTTCTGCAATTTCAAGAATTTACTATCAGGCAGCACTTCATGAACTCTCTGGGTCTGCTCAGAAATACCTCCACAAGTCTTCCACTGCTTACCAGAGAACCTAGAGCCTGCCCAAAGCTACAACACAACCCTGGACAAACACTACCCCACCTCTTACCTCCACTAAATCCTTTTACTAGCACTCCAGAGCAGAAGCTAGGTCATCACCCAGTTAAATTACATGATAGGCCAGAGTGACCTCATTAATGCCCATATCTAGCCCTTCAGTACAGTCTGTTTTTACCTATATAGGTCTGGTGGCTCTGATTCTCTTGTCCTCAAGCTTCCTCTCCAGGCCCAGCTCACATCCCACCTTCCCAGGGAGGTGACTAAATGCCCCCTAGTCTGGCACCTGAAATTACTCTTCCCAAGCCCCAAAGAGCCTCCTTTATGTCCTGTACACAGCCATCTGTGAAAAGCCTTTCCTCCCTCTTTCATGCTACATAGACCTCTGGAAGGCATGCCAGCACCGTTCATATGCACTGTGTGCCATGGCAGCCTTTGACCTACTAACATACACTAGCTTGATCAACCAACTCATCACACTCCACCCAATCTGCTGCAGAGGTACATTATAACACATGAGTAAAACGGGGCACCTCTGAAGGTAATCCCTACGGCAAAAACACAAAGAACAAAAAACAGTAAAGCAGGGCTGGGCTTCAACATAATGGCCCAGCCCCAGGAGATGGGAAACCATGAGGTGAAAAACCCATGTCACATGGTGCACTGCTAAAGGAAGCATAGCAGTGCTATTGGGCTCTCAGCAAATGTATCATGAGTTGACTATTTGGCAAGGACCACTCCCAAAGCTATGTGACAAGGAGACACACAGCATTTAACAAAAAAGCAAGGGCTGGAGAGAAAGCAACCAGTGTGCACATGGGCAGTGATGCAAACAGAGAGGCAGCTGTTTCACCGGACCAGATTTCCTCTCTAAGAGTTCATCCAGAGAACATCATACAAACAATCAAACAAACAACCACTGCCAGTATCCAGGCCAGAGCTCAGCGCCAAAGAGAATGGTCACTTTCTCCTGTCTTCCCATTTCACAATCCACCCACTAATTAATTTATTTTTCATTTATTGAATAACCAAGTACACTCACCTCTAAACTAAATAACCTTTTATGGTACAAACAACAAGAGTTGTACCTGCAGGGCAGAAGAGCCTGAGGAAGAAAGTTCTTTGCAATCATTTTCTTAGCCTTGGAACATATTTGCTATCCCAGAGAACAAAGCCTCTGCCAAAAAGCAAAAGGAGATGATGGCTCCTTACAAATGCAGAACATGACTCTCATGTATCTTGTCTGGCTGGCTGGCAGAGGCTACCCTATACACACTCAAAGGCAAAAGACCTCAACATTTCTCAAGTACAGAGCATGTACCACCATCATAGCCAAAGCTTAGATCACACTGCCTCACACTACTGTTCTAAACTTATTTCGAATGTAAAAACTGTGTCCGCTCCATAGAAGTACCTTTCTGCCAGCACAGAGGCATGCTTAGGGTTTTTCTGAAAGGGATTCATTCCAAGCCTGCAACAAAAACAAGGGAATGGTTACCAATAGGAAGACAACACAGTCAAGAAAAGGTCTTGAGCACTAGCTTCTCAGCTGCTGCAATCACAGTAAGAGGATCAAAGCCCAGGGAACATACAGAGGCTTGATGGGGGGGCTTCTCTTGCCAGCTGTCATTTTCATCAGGTCGAAGTGGCTTGTGTACAGCTGGGTGTGAGTGGCATTCTCATCCTGGGCATAAATCTGGCTTGTGCGGAGTGGACGGTTGTTCTTACTCTGAAACAAAATTGATAGGAGCTGAAGTTTAGACCATCAGCCTGAAACACAACTACTCTGGAAACAACATTTTCTGAATTAGAAGCCTGTGGCTAAGATCCAGTGGCTGCACCCAAGTCCCATTCCCTTTCTTTCTTTTTGGGATAACATAATAAGACAACAGTTGCAACACGGAAATGCCATCATTTGCTGGTAGCTGGCAATACTCCCCAATTCTTAGACCTTTGCTCAGTTGAGCCTCCCTTTCACTGAGGAAAGAAAGGTTGCACAAAATATTCAGGGTCACACTCTGGAGTTAACACACAGCAGGTAACAGGGTGTTGAGTCTAATACCCTGGACAAATGAGGCAGTGGTAATTCAATAGATACCTTCTACCCATACTGGAAAGTGAGGGTAACAGGGATGTCTAAAACTGCATTCCTTGGGGCTGTGACATCATTTGTACCTAGTGATCCTTTCTGCTTAGAAATGCCATAGACAATTCAACAGGTGTTTACTTATTACCAAGAAAGACATCTTAACCCCCTCAGATACAGAAAGTCCAGAGATAGTCGTGCAAGGTCAGAGGTCAGGGACAAGAGTTCACAACCCCAACTAGCCAGGACTCTCTCTGTCCCTCAGTATCTCTAAACCCTGACCAACCCTATTATCACAGCCAGTAATGCATACCCAGTATAGTTATGATATAGTTAGGCAAATACACACATGTACACATCTGTTGCTGGAGGAATGCCTTAAGTTCAGAAGAGAATGCCAAGGAAAGTCAGAACTAAAAAATGAACGTGCACGGTTACATGGAACTGCTTCTTCAACATTGCCCCCTAAAGCATTCTCCTATATTAAAACAACAACAACAACAAAACTAAGCAAAAGGAGAAGGGAGAGTGAGAGCCAGTGAGTCACACCCACCACCAGAGTGAAGGCAAGACAAGGCCAAAGGCAGGAAAGACAACAACAAGCCCTGGATGGTTCTAGCTATGAACAACAGCTCCAGGGCTAAGGACAGTGTGCTTATTGGCATCTAGCCACCATGTCAGGGGCCTCAACAGGGTGTGAACAACAGGGAGGCTCTGATGTCCCTGAGGGGCTCAGTGAGTCACTTGTGTGGTTCCTTCAGATGAAGAAGCAAAGCCTCTATGCATAGGAATAAAAGGCACTTGAAAAAACCCTAAGTGCTGTATTTCTATTACTACAGTCTGGGCTCAATCTGAATCTCACTGTGTTCCTGTTCACAGGCACTTACAGAAAGCTTTCCATCTCATTCAGAACACCTCCTCGTACCTTATAAATATTTTGTGCCTTTTTCTTTGGATTAGCTTCACAAATCAGCTATAAGAGAAGAAAATATTTTAGCTTTATTTTTTTCAATATTAAGGTAATGGCTGCTATAATTATTAAATGCTTCCAGAACATAAAGAGTGAATGTGAGACTTTAGGAAGTTTTATGGTGCAGGTACCACAGAATGGTATCATGAGGAAGGCTTGCTTTTTTATGGGGAAAAAAAAAAAAGCAAACAAATGCTTTGTTCTGAAATGAGTGTTTTAGAAATGATAAGAGATGGTTCAAAGAGTGGTCACAGAAGTCAGGTGAGTGTGGCGACCTCATCCTGAGGGCACATGTAGCTCTTAACACCAAAGACATTTTCACAAACTGTACCAAAATAAGAACTAGATGCCTATCTTGCCATCATCGCTGTTGCTCCTATGCTAATGAGCATACTGATGTGTTCAGAAAGGCAGTGTTCTCTGCACACCTGCCTTGGCATCAGGGCTGAACATTTGTAAACGCTGGTGTGACATGGCCTGGGGATACTGTACAGAAAAACTAGCTGTCAAGTGACAAAAAAAAAAAAAAAAAAAAAAGAAAAGAAAAAAAAAAAAAGAAAAGAGAAAGAGAGAGAGCTGTGTAAAGAGAGCCAAATGGAGAAATAGAAACAGACAAACGCAAAGCAGATGAGGAAAAGCCAAGAGGCCTACATGTCCCTGAGCAGCAGTACCAACTCATTTGGGTTGAGGATGCAAACCATAGCTGGCTTCTTAAATCAAAAACACAATGGTTTGTCTATACTATAAATACTTTCAATGCTCAAAGTTAACCCAGAAACAGAGACATGAAAAGCAGCACAGAAAGCATGAGCAGACTCTTCTTTAAGTGAGATGGTAGCGAGTCAAAGAAGAGTTCTTCCCTTACTCATCTGAAACCTGAATGGCACAGTTTTCTATACTGCAGCAACAGCAAAGGCTGGCATCTGGTTCATATGCTAACACCAACCATGATCAAGGGGTAAGGTGATTGACTCTCTACTAATGTCCATTACATGCCAGGTACTGTGTAGATGTAGGCCTCACTGATCAAGAAGGCTGACTTCACCACAGTCTACAGGGACAACTACATTGCCCAGCAATACACAGCAAGACCTGGCCACTGAAGAAGCCAATTCTTCCCAGGAAGACCAAGGGGTACAAGCTCACCTTCCCTTCCTCTCTGGGAATGATGACGTTCTCATAACGATTCCGGCACTGCTTGGAAGACCGGTAGATTCGGCTGCAGGAGTTGACAACATCACTGACAAGGTCCCAGTTAGGAGTGTGAGCAGGTGACACAATCGTGAGGTTCAAGGGCAGCTCAAGTAACTGCTTTACAGCCTAGAGGACAAGGTTTCAGAGCAAATAGGTCAACGTACATTCAAATGCCAAAGACACACCGCAAAGCACTATGAATCACCAATGTGGGGGAGCAAACAAACCATGGGAATGCTCAACCCAAGGACAACATAGCCATTTACCTGTAGTAGGGCCCAGTCTTCACCAATGAGCCAGTCGGGACTGTCTTGGGCAGGTTCCCCCGAGGACTTGACATAGGTAGGCAGAGGCTTGGCAAAAGGTGCCTGCTGTTTTAGTAGCAGGTTCTTCTTTTGCTCCTTGCCTTCACGTCGGATTTTCAACATGCCCGGTGTCGCCCGGTCAAACAAGGATCGTGGCGGGACAACTGCCTCACCATGCCGCTGCTTCTTCTTCCTGCCTGCAGCTAAATGGGGCAGAGTTCAGTAAAACAGGACACTGAGAGATTTTCTCACCAGTGGAGTGAAAAAAAAGGGAAGAAGGCACACAAGAGGCATGTAGACTGATGGGCTAATGGAAACAACTGATTACATAAAATCACTTTCTCGAGTTTACTATTTGTCTGTTTTGGGGTTTCAAAACAGTCTCATTATTTAGCACAGGCTGGCCATCAACTTTTATGATCCTTCTGCCTCAGCATCCCACATGCTGGGAATGCAGGTATATGCTATGGTACTTAGGCTCCTAGTGGTTTTGTAGTATTAACTACTGTAACCATCAAGGCTCCTTCCCTGAAATGGGAGGAGCCGGAAACATGGTACAAAAGACAATGGCTGGGTCACTCCTCCCATTCCAGCAGAGAGAGAGGTACATACCTGAAGGATCTGTTTTGTGTCTCTTGCGCTCCTTCCTCACATAAACAGGAGGCAGCTTAGCTTCTGGGATGGGTGTGGTCTCATACATGAGACACATAACCGAGTCAATGTAGATGTCATTGTCATCCTGAGGAGGTGTGGGTGGTGTCCAGAGCTGCACAGAGAAAGCAGGTTCTGTACATTACCAAGCTATGGGAAGGCTGGCCTTTGCTCGGGCATTCAGGGAGAGGGGTCATGTACCGGCATGACTTCTGTCTGTCCATCAGCATCTTCATAGACATACTCCTATGGAACATAAACAAGTTTAAAATATAACAAAGGCTTTACACCTCATGCTACATGCCACAAATCACATATTTTCATCAATATTCAAGTATGACTGTGAATTTAAAAACTGTGTTTTAAAAGAGTATGAAAAAAACCTGTGTTTTATTTAAATCCTGAAAATACCATCCACTGAGGATTAAGTCATTATCAGTTAAGACCTCAAAGTGTCAGGTGAGAATAGAGCTGAGTGCTAGTTTACCATGCTGTAGGCGTCTTCCCGAGTGTAGGTGAGAAGCTCTGCCTCCTCCTGCTCAAGCTGCAACTGGGCCTCCCTTTCCTGCAGGGCCCTAGCATTGCGGAATTCCCAATCCCTCACTGATGCCATCACCAAATCCTGCTAAGAAAAAGCACAGGGGAAAAGAACTTTCAAGATTAGAGGAGGCAGGTCTCTTCTTCCTAGTACTCAATTCCCCCAGCCACTGTACACACACGGTAGAGTCCTATCTCCCCAAAGGGATGTCTCAGTTCTTACTGATGTACGTGCTCTACCTCTCCACATGTAACCCTGTATCAACTCCAAGCTACTTCAAGTCAAATGCAATGACGTCAAAGTGCAAAGCAAGTGCTCCAGCTGCCTGAACAGGGCTTGGGAGATCTCAGTCTCAGTAAGGCCTGCACTGCCAGGATTTGGCTTCATCCCTTAAATTTCATGGAGTGGAGTCACAGTCACCGCAAATCAAATTCAGCACTGAAATTTTTTACTTTTAATATGTTAAACTGACCAAAACTTGATTCTCTTACCTCATTGCTTCTCTCTTTTTCTTGTTCAATGGTCATATGGAACAATTCCAAGTAATTCAATGCATATTTTTCAATTGGTGTAAGCTATTTCAAAGACACATTTTTTTAAAAACAGAGTTAGTAGCAATTTAATAAAGATCAATAATATTCCTCATAAAATCCTCTCACGGACATTGAATTTAAAAAGTGTTCTTAGTCAAAGCAAACAAAACATATTTTACAAAAGGGTTCAAATGCTGAAATTCTTGGCTTAAAAAAAAAAATCCCCAAACCTGTTCCATAAAATCAGCCAGCTCCTCCAGCTGGGATGGCTCCTCATCATATCTAGAGCCGTCTGAGTCTGAGGACACAACTACAGGGCTGGATCCAGGCACGGCTTCCTCTGTGGATCTCTGGGTGTCTTCTTCCAGATACTCAATACTCTTGAGGGCCTAAAGGGAGTGTGCACTGAGACTTGGTGGTAGACTTGGCAAACAAAGGAGTTTGTAATGTTAAAGTAGATACCTGTACTGTAAGCAACCAGTAAGCCTCCAGAGGGACTTCCCTTCTTTTACGATTTTCATACACATGCTCACACATTCCAGCGATAAGAGATATGGATGGATCTACAACTTTTAAAATTACTATCAAGATAGGTTGAAAAGCTTCATGGAAAAACAAAACACTGACAAGGGTTACAGATGGTAACATGACAAAAGAAACAGGGAAAATGAGGCCACCAATAATTACAGACTCTAAGAATGAGAAGGGACCATGTGGTTTTATCTCACACCTAGTATATGGTACTAACCAAAGGGACACAGGGAAAACAAGACAGAGACCTATTTAGAGTCCAAATACAAAAGAAAGTCCATTAAAAAAAAAAACTGTAGCAAAGGTGCTCAGGTGCTCAGAACACACAGGACAGCTGACTTTATTAGAATAAGAGGCATGTATATTACAAAGCTGTCACTGTTCACCTCCTAAGTACTGGAAGCACATCATGGCTGGGAATGTGAAAAAAGGTGCTCACATGTGAGACAATATAGCTATGCTTTTAAAAAAAATCATAAACCATGCAACCAGTTCTCACAGTATTTGACAAAACCTGCAGTTTAAAAGATGACCATACTGCACTAGACCCACAAAAAACATATCCAGAAGACAATAAAGGAAAACGCCATGGTAACCTGGAGAACCTTTGAAGCTGGATACAGAAAGCCCTGATGATGACAACAGATGTAGGAACTGCTGTGGGGTAATGACCTTGTACACTGTGAACTCACATTCATATTGGTTTAATAAATGCTAACTGGCCAGTAGCCAGGCAGGAAGTATAGGCAGGGCGATCCGACTAGGAGACTTCTGGGAAGAGGAAAGGCAGAGAGTCAGTCACCAGCCAGGTGCAGAGGAGGCAAGATGAGAATGCCTTACTGAGAAAAGGTACCAAGCCATGTGGCTAACATAGATAAGAATTATGGGTTAGTTTAAGTTGTAAGAGCTAGTTAGTATTAAGCCTGAATAACAGGCCAAACAGTTTATAATTAATATAAGTCTCTGTGTATTTACTTGGGACTGAACGGCTGTGGGACTGCGTGGGACAGAAACTTCTGTCTACAAAGAATCTCTGTTTAGCAAGATAGAGAACAATGGTATGGATGCCCTGAGTCGGTAAGATATAAAGTACACAGAAGTAGAAAAAAGAGAAAAACAAAACAATCTTCAACAAAGGAGAGACAGTAAGACGGTTCAGCAGGTAAAGGTTTGTGCTGCCAAGATTTATGATCTGAGTTCAATCACCAGAACCCACATGGTGGAAGGGGGAAACTGACTCATGCAAGCTATTCTCTAACCTACACCAACACCCCCCCCCACACACACTATAAGTAAAAGAATCAAATGGAGCAGGAAACCAACCAATCCCTTAGCACCTTGACTCTGAACTCAGAGCTGTCCTACTGCGGCTCTAAGTATCGCCTGGCTTCCTGATAAGTCAGGATATCTTTGCAGCTCCAGAGTTGTAACACCCACACTCCCCTACACACATACACACACACTAACATTAGAAGATAATGGCTGAAGAGATGGTTAAAGAGGACTGAGTTCAGTTCCCAATGCCAATAACTGGGTGGTTCACAACACCTGTAACTCCAATTCCAAGGGAACTGATTCCCTTTCCTGGTCTCTACAGTCACCTGCACGCTCATGTGCGCGCGCGCGCGCGCGCACACACACACATACACACACACACACACACACACACACACACACACCTCCAGGATCCAATAAACTTGACCAAGCAATTAAAAGAAAATTATCCAGGGGCTGGGCAGGGGCTAGGGCGAGGTTCAGTGGTGCAGGTTTACATGATGCCTCCCTCGGGTTTCGTCCCCAGCACTAGGGCAAAGGAAAAGACCTTCATGGGCAGCAAACTCATGAAAAGGTGTACTCAACAGCAAAATACAAAATAAAGCTACCCCATGAGACCATCAGTCTAAGAGTAAGGCCAGGCAGTGCTCAGCAGCTGCAGCACTCAGACACCACTGAGCTCTATCCACTAGTCATATATTCAGGATATGCTGGCCAGAGACCCCACTTCAAGGCCTTACATTCAGTAGAAATGCATGTACTTGCTTATATGAGACACTACAAAAGTATACTTCAAAACAGGTCAGATGAACAATGTAGTGAATTCATAAATATCGTTCTCCAGAATGGAGCCAGATACATTAAGGCCACATGAAAAGAGCAGAATTCCATTCATATCCAGCTCAAGATAGGCAAATGCAGTAAGACATCAAAAGAGTAGTCTCTTCTGAAAGAGAGTGGCTAAAGGAAGAAAGAGGGATTTTCTCAGTAGTTTCACTTTTAGGACCAGAAAGTAGTTGGTAAAGACAAGCTATAAGAGCATGAAGTACAGGCCAATAGCAGACCAGGGCGCTGCCACACACCATCATCCATGGCCTTTGCAGAAGAGCAAGTAACAAGACAGTGGTCACCACCCTAGTCCATGTGACAGCTTCCATGGGGAGGACAGTCAAAAAGGGCACGGAGAGCAAGATCTAAAGAGGAAGGAACCCCATCCCTTCACTTGAAGCTGTGGTAAAGAAGAGGTACTTAGCAAACAGGGACCAAGTCTTGGAGTAAAGAGAGCCTTGGTCAAGCCAGGAGGGAGGACATTTAAGTATCCGTAACAGGTATCTGCTATGTTCCTATACAGATAGCCACTGCACAGGACCCATGTGTGCAACTCCAAATCTTCCAGTGCCTGCATTGCAACAGTAATATCCCTCATATGAATTAAAACATTGCACCCTAAAAAGGCACCAACATGAGAAATGCTAAGAGAGACATTCTAGGGCCTCATCTAAGTCTTCACAATCAGCTGTACATTTTTTTCTTTTTTTTTTTAATAGCCATAAGTATTTATTAAGAAAGAGGGAGAAAGAAAGACAGAGAAAAGAGATAAAAGGAGAGAGGAGAGATAAAAGAAGAGAGAGACAGAGAAAACGTGTGCGCACGCCAAGTCAGCTGTACATTTTAAAGGGACAGTAAATTCAACACAGGTGAGCACAATTTCTAGTGTTTGGTGGCCACATGGGACTGGTGATTCTTTGAGTCAGGGGAGTAAGAAATAAGACAGCTCAACACAAAAAAAATCAAATATTGCTCAGAAAGTCCTGATGGAAAGAAAGAAGACAGTGGCTGGCATCTTCTCCTCTATTCCCTTGGTATTTCTTTACAGTTGAGACAGAGGAGGAAGGAAGGCAGAAAGGCTGCAGGATCAAGGGTGGGGAGAATCAAGTAAGAGTAAGTACTGAGAACTCAGAAGATATGACCATATTGTGAAAGCACACATAGTCAAGACTCAAACAGACCATTCATTATTAAACAAGTCTTATGGATGAACATCTATCTCCTCACCTCTATGAAAGGTCTTGCAATCTTGGGTGCAATGGTTTCACTGACAGATGGTTCCTGAGAAAGCACCACAAATTCTTCAGCTTTCACAGGAAAACCAGCATCATCCATGGGCGAGTAAACTTCAAACAGCTCCTGGATAGTTCGCTGAACACAAGCAATGAGCACAATCATTTCTAGGACAGACCCACTCCTGTACCTGACCTAAGCCTTGGGCAGCATAAAACCCACCAGAGAATCATTCCTCATTAGTGAAGTGAAATCAAAATAAAACATTTCTGTTCACTGTGGCATTCCTCACTGAGTGAAGTAGGGAGGTGAGTCAGGGTTCCCCTGTGTAGGCCAGGCTGATTTTAAAAGTCTCAGCCTCCTGCCTCAGCCTCCTAAGTGTTGAGCTACAGTCCTGCACCTGCCATGACCAGTTAGTTATTGTGGATTCCTAACAAATGAGAGCTACCTGCGTTAAGAATGCCATGGAGTAGTCATTTCCCTGAGCAGCCACTTCACGGATCAAATCTTTAGTTCCATTTTTCAACAATTTCTCTTCAATAGAATTGCCACTGACAAGCCTACAAAAGAAAAGAGGAAAAAAATATGTATGTATACGTGTACAGATGAAACAATAGTTAAGTCACCTAGAAACATGCCAATACCAGGTACAGGCGTCCAGATGGTAAGCAGAGAAGCAAGAGATGTCTCACATGCTAATCAAGACCTATTAAGTCTGTCAAACTCTCTCCAATTTCAACTCTAGTGAGCTCTGGAGTCTTTGGTGCATCCCTCTGCTTGCCAATGTTTCTTCCACCATATTCAACCTAGACATGTCTCACTGAGTCCTGCACTCATCCCCACTGTCTATCCTCTGACACAAGCAGAATGATTCTGACTTGCCCAGTGAGAGACTATTTTTTTAAATCTTCTGAATCTTTTTTTAAAAAAAATATTTATTTATTTATTTATTTATTTATATAATATTCTGTCTGTGTGTATGTCTGTAGGCCAGAAGAGGGCACCAGACCTCATTACAGATGGTTGTGAGACACCATGTAGTTGCCGGGTATTGAACTCAGGGACCTTTGGAAGGGCAGGCAATGCTCTTAACCCCTGAACCATCTCTCCAGCCCCCCAGTGAGAGACTTTTAAGAGATGTCCATTCTCTCTTGAGTATAAACAGTGTCCATCTGTCTCCTACAAATTGCTAGGTCAACAGAGTGCTGTGGGTGTTGTCCCCACTTAACAAACAATGGAATAGTCTCAGGATAGTACCCATCATCCAGTCTATTTTCTCTCTCTCTCTCTCTCTCTCTCTCTCTCTCTCTCTCTCTCTCTCTCTCTCTCTCTCTCTCTCATTCTTCGAGACAGGGCTTCTCTGTAGCTTTGGAGCCTGTCTTGGAACTCACTCAGTAAATCAGGCTGGCCTTGAACTCACAGACTGCCTCTCCCTCTGGGATTAAAGGCGTGTACCACCACTACCACCAGGCTTGCTTGCTTGCCTTCTTTTCTTTCTGTCCATCTTTCTTTCTTTCTTTCTTTCTTTCTTTCTTTCTTTCTTTCTTTCTTTCTTTCTTTCTTTTTTGTTCAGTCTATTATTTTCTAGTTCACTGCTTTGTTTTAAAACATAGTTTTTAAGCATTTTTTTATATGTGGGTATTCTGCCTGTACATCATTTGCATGCCTGGTGCCCGTGAAGGCCAGAGAGTGGCACTATAGCACTGGATTCACTGAGACTGGAGTCACAGACAGTTGGTGAGCTGCTATATGGGTGCTGGGGCCTCTGAAAAGCAGCCATCTCTCCAATTCTGCTTACATGCTTTTAGGATACTAAATGCTAAAAGTCAAGAAAGCTTAAACTACTTTAACAAAAATTTCCACAGGGATAAAAAGAACAAATGAGAATTTTCCGAGAGGAAAATAAAAAAACCTCTAAATAGGGAGCATAGGAAAAAGTGACCAATTGAGGCCTGGAGAGATGGCTCAACAATTAGAAGTACTGACTGCTCTTCCAGAGGATCTTGGTTCAATTTCCAGCATCCATATGGCAACCTGTCTGTAACTCCAGTTTCAGGGGCTCCGACACCCATGGCAAAACACTAGTGCACATAAAATAATAAAAGATCTTTTTTAAAAAAAAGTCACCTAACAAGAAGTGATGTGGGAGTGTCATATATCAATCTGTTGATTTCATTGGTTAAGTAATAAACACACTGCTTGGCCTGATAGGTTAAAGCATAGGTAGGAGGAATAAACAGAATAGGATGCTGGGCGGAAGAGGAAGTGAGGTCAGACTCTGCTCTGCTCCCGGACAGGATGGAGGGAGGCTAGAATCGTCCGGGTAAGCGCACCTTGGGGTGCTTACACACATCATTAGAAATGGGCTAGTCCAGGTGCGAGAATTAGCCTGTAAGGGCTAGAGTTCATGGGCCAAGCAGTTCTTTAAATGAATACAGTTTGTGTGTTGTTATTTTGGGCATGAGCTAGCCAAGCGGCCGGGGTGTTGGGGACGCAGCCCCGCCGCCCACATTTCAACAGATGGCTGCCCAACGTGAGGATAACTGAATCCATAAAAAGCCCGAGAAAGCTTGGGAAAGAATGGAGTGAAGCATGTTTTCTTGGTAGCAGAAATTTCTTGGGTCTGCTCTGCTTGCTAGAGGCAAGCAAGCGCTCTCATCTAAGAGAGGCTTCCTGACTCAGCTTCAGCTGCAAAACCCTGCAGCTCATTAAGAGGTCCTGCCACAAAACACTTAAATGGTGTTGACAAAAAGCTGAACGCATGCTTTTCGGTTTTCAGCCGTAGCAGGAAAAAAGCTGTGCTGTTTAAAAATGCCGGCTTTCTGGGCCATCCTGCCAGGGAAAACTCTGACTCTTTTACGCAGGCGGTTCGTGCGGTTTGCAAGCACAGGCTGCTGAAGCTCACTTGCTGGCAGGGACCTTGAAACGCCATAGAATTGTGGCTATAAACATGGCTACAGCCTGTTTCTCCGCCATGAGGCTGGAAAGCTAAGGAATGGACTGGATCTACCTGGCAAAGCCACGGCTGTAATCCTACTCATATTGCTCAGTAATTTAAAGGCTCGTGTGGTCAGAAAAAGAGAGATATACAGTAAAGAGAGTCAAAGACAAAGAAAAATTTTAAATGATTTACAGTGTTAAAAATGTATGCAGACTAAAAGTTAAAATTCTTAAAGTAAAAAAAAAAAAGTAAGAAAAAGAGAAGTTGTGTGTGGTAGTGCACGCCTTTAATCCCAAAGCTTGGGAGGCAGAGGGAGATTGACCTCTGTGACTTCAAGGTATGGTAGCACACGCCTTCAATCCCAGTGCCTAGAAGACACAGACAAACAGATCTCTGTGAGTTCAAGGTGTAGTAGCAAACACCTTTAATCCCAATGCCTGGAAGGCAGAGACAGGCAGATCTCTGAGAGTTCAAGGAGAGCCTGGTCTACAGAGTTATTCCAGGACAAAGATACAGAGAATATAAAATAAAAGTAAAAATAAATGAAATAGAGGTTAAAATAAAGCATACAAAGATGGAAAATACACAGAGAATCTTGATACTGTATACTATTATGCTCTCTTTGAATTGTTTGAATGCTGAGGAAGGAGCAACAGATGCTAAAAGATATTTGTTTATAAATGCTGCTGAACTAATCCATCGTAGAGATTTTGATGCCTTGACTTTGAAATTTGGGTCTAAGGACATGATACTTTGGAAAGGAGTTTCTTATTTTGTTTTCACAGAGGATGAGACCCTGTTCATTTCTTCTATTCCAATATGGTATGATGGACCACGCCCTCCTGAACGGTTGCTGTGAATACCTTCAGAAAATTGCTTCGCTCAACTGCCAACTGAGATGAAACTAGCACACAGGTTATACCATGAAAGACCTAATTAACGATGCCCCCATTCAGCAGGAAGCAGTTTGGAGAGAAAAAACTGCGCCCATGTTCCCAAATATGGTTTATAAATTTCTTTTACATTTAAAGGGGGATATGATATAGATATGAATAATTTGCATTAGTATAGATTTTGCTTTACTTATAGAGATTTAAGGTCAATTTTGTTATATGTATATGTATTTCTGAAAAATGTAATGTATAGTTAGAAATATAGATTGTTAATAGATAATCGTAATAGTCAAGTTTGTAGTCATGTTAGTTAAGATTTTCTAGATGTGCATAGATATATTTTAGATAGGCATTCTTCATATTTTTCAAAGATTATAGAATATGGCATATTAAATGTTTTAATAACTTAGGACTTTTCATGACAATGAGACACTCTGCTCCTGGCAACACCAATCTACTTCAAGAGGAAGATGGGCATCGGAGAGGATCCTTATGGAGTTTGATAGCCATTTGTGCAAGAAACTGCTCTTGCCTGGACTACTGCATAAACTGGACACAGAGAACCCGAAGAGAGAGGACTGCTGAACTTGCCTAAAGGTGAGATGACCTTTTGGGGTTCCTGATTCATAAAAGTATTCACGAGACATTCTGCAGGACACAGCAGAAAGTGACTGAACTGTCTTTGAATTTTCCTGCTTCATGGAAATGTCTCTGGATACTATGGGCCTGTAGGCCGAAGATGGATGCCCCAACGGTACAGAGGAACTTTGGGTGACTGTCCAGGCAGCGAGATGTCTCTGTCATTTATAGAGTTTTTGATTTCTTGTTTGCTTAGGTAATAGTATATCTTTCTGGAGTCTTTGATGGAGTTAAAGAATAGTTAGTTATAGTTTTCCTTAGTTATGATATAGATTATTGTAATTTTTACTTGATAACTGTTTTGTTATATGTAATTTTGCTATGTTAAAGTTAAAGCCTTCCTTTTTTTTGTTTAAACAGAAAAAGGGGAAGTGATGTGGGAGTGTCATATATCAATCTGTTGATTTCATTGGTTAAGTAATAAACACACTGCTTGGCCTGATAGGTTAAAGCATAGGTAGGAGGAATAAACAGAATAGGATGCTGGGCGGAAGAGGAAGTGAGGTCAGACTCTGCTCTGCTCCCGGACAGGATGGACGGAGGCTAGAATCGTCCCGGTAAGCGCACCTTGGGGTGCTCACACACATCATTAGAAATGGGCTAGTCCAGGTGTGAGAATTAGCCTGTAAGGGCTAGAGTTCATGGGCCAAGCAGTTCTTTAAATGAATACAGTTTGTGTGTTGTTATTTTGGGCATGAGCTAGCCAAGCGGCCAGGGTGTTGGGGACGCAGCCCTGCCGCCCACATTTCAACAAAGAAGCACTGCTGTTTCATCAAAGCAGGTTCAGTATGCACAGTCTGATTATGTATGAGCATGAGGAATGGAAAAGCAGCCAGATTCTAATCCATGAGATTAGCGCCAAAACAATTCTATTTCTGCCTACCTTTGGTTTATAAACACACCAACACTCTTCATGCACAAAACAAGATGGTACCACCTTAACACATGTAAAATAGCACATACACAAAGTTAGTTGGGTTTTGTGATGAGGTATCACTGTGTAGCCCAGGTTAGCTTCAAACTCATGATCTTCCTGTCTAAGCCTCCTGAATGCTGGGATTGTTAGTGTGAGCCACCATGTCTAGTATGAGAAACATTTTTTAAAAAAATAACACAGAGAGAGAGAGGGGGGGGGGGGGGGGGGGGGGGGGGGGGGGGGGGGGGGGGGGAGGGAGGGAGGGAGGGAGGGAGGGAGGGAGGGAGGGAGGAAGAGAGAGAGAGAGAGAGAGAACATAAGCACACAGGCATGTATGTGCCACAACTCGTGTGGAAGTCAGAGAACAACTTGTTATCACAACTGTCAGTAATAGTGACAACTCTCCCTCTACCCTGTAGGTCCTGGAGATTGAGTTCAGGTCATCAGGCCTGGTGGCAAATACTTTAGTCAGTTATCACATGGGCCTTGTAGGTGACTTTTTAATAGATATATTATACAATGTGGTCCTCAAAACAAAATAAGCAGCCATCTTCATCATATCAGCTGTGCCTGCTTGCAAGAAAACACCATTGAGTGGACCCATTGACTGCTGGTGTGCTCTCACAAAGATGGACTGGGGGAGGGTCACGGGACTCTTATCTTTGTATGTGATTCTGCACTAACTGCATGTGGAGGGGCTAGAGTATAGGCCCAGGGAAGATGGGAAGAAGGGATTCTATCTATGAAGCTATATAGAAGTTGCCATTTATTCTAGGGTGCAGCTGCTGCCTTGAGGTTACCCACATTCATTTAAGAAACCACACAAGCTCTGTAAGTAAGCCCAATAAACTAACTGCAATGTTTCCCAAGTTAAGCTTTAGTGGCATCAAACTTTGGCTTGCCTTCAGGACCTTCCTTATAAGGAGGCAGATGGTAAGGAGTTTGTGCAATACATGTTTTTATCATTGTCTTTCCAACCCCTTCCTCTAGGCAGCCAATGCAAAGGCTATTTTAGCAAAATGCTTTTAGCCCGGGTATACCTTGACAGGCCTTTGATGTGTACAGCATGAAGTAAATCCTGTCTGTTTTGCTAAGAAGCATGAAGAAGGTCCCTGTGAATATGCCTTCCTTTTGTCTGCAATGGGTGTATGGCTACACCCTAATGAGTATTCCCCATTTTTGCTGCAATGAACAACTTTACGCTATGGGGCAGTCAGGATAAAGGACACAGCATTTTAATTTCAACAAGTCTTCTCATGCTACTTTAGAAGAGCTGAGGCCCTCCCTGTGCCCCATGGACATGACAGCTTCCATTATTAGACTCAGCTTCTCTTTGATATGCTGCCTGTCTGTAGAGACATTTCATACTGAACCACGGTATCATGCTGCCCACGGTGAACTGCATCGTTTTCAGTCTGTGACTCTTGGAATTGACTATTCATACTCCTAGACCCTCTCTAGTTCCACTTTTAAATAAAACTGACCTGGCCTTTGCCTTAAGAACTGTAAGCCATTTCCTTCGATCTATCATTTACCTGTTTATTATAGTTTTCTTTCTTTTTTTCTTTAAGATTTATTTATTTATTATGTACATAGTGTTCTGCCTGCATATATTCCTGCAGGCCAGAAGAGGGCGCCAGATCTCATTACAGATTGTTGTGAGCCACCATGTAACTGTTGGGAATTGAACTCAGGACCTGTAGAAGGGCGGCCAGTGCTCTTAACCTCTGAGCCATCTCTCCAGTCCTTATTATATTTTTCTCCAATACTCAACCTAGAGCCCATTCCTTTTGCCTGTCTAGACTATGCTGTGTTCCTAAGCAGAAAACAGTGACCCAGCACCATTCTCTCACTTAGACCAACTAAGTAAAGGGTCCAGCACACTCACACATTAGAATAACAAATAACAACCAGAAATTTAAAAGTAGGCCATGGGCCCTTCAGTCTTCCCAATTAGTTGTAAATGGCCAGTTACAATTTAAATGCTTGAAGATGGACATATCTCAAGTCTTTCAACAGATACTTTGTATTTTATAATTCTTAGAACAACACAAATATAAACTGTGCTCTCCAGTTATTCTAAAAATGATGCAACATGTGAGCAATGAACACCAGTAAGCCAATAACCAGGCCTAAGCCACACAACTGATTACAAATTCAAGTAAATGTCAAGTACAGCGACAAGACAAAATAACAGCACTAAAACATGTCTAAAAGGAAAGTAAACTATGTAGGAATTTGTAAAGTTCAACTGCAGCATATTTATTACATCTGGCTCTACTCAATTCCTACACCCAGACCTACAAAATTCATTATGTGCACTTCTATGAGTTGGCCAGGATTGTCATCACCTGTATATATGGATGTCCTTGCACCTCCCAATTCTATCACACCATTCCTGGGCCTTGGCATCCATAACTGGATTTAGGTCATTGTCATAAAACACCACGGTGTCAGCCTCCACAAGATTTATGCCAGTGGCACGGCTATGGGTAGAGAGAAGGGCACAGAAAATCCGCCTGTCTCTGTTGAAACTCCTCATCAGCTCCTGAGAGGAAACAAAGTACTCAAATAAATATTTCTGGAGAACATTGGGAGACCACTGACACTTTGGATGATCTGTTTTATAACAGTCTCATTTGTCCCATGGATAACATCTTACCCTGGATGCATGGAGTTCCTTCTGTCCATAAGCATCTGTGTGTGATATTTAGACAATATAGGTGTCATATACATAAGATGTCATGCCCTATCTGGTACTTTCTGTCAGCCCAATCTGTAGGCCCCACAAGAAAGCAGAGTCTTGCTAGGGAGGGAGCTGTGCTTTCTCCTCTATCCTCAGGCAATGCCAGGGCACTCTACAAGCAAGAAGCCCCTGGAGTAAGGCTGAGGAAGTACAACAAGATCTCTCTAATCATTTGGGACAATGAATTGTACGTAATGAAAACATGAGTACTTTTCTTCTTAAATTATTTCCATGCCAAAACAGAACTAAAAGTTGAGCAATCATCTTCGTTCAAATAACAACCCAATTTTCTACACTATTACCAATAAAACAGGCTCTTTTCTATTTGCATCTAAGCTGTGTAGGAATTTCATATTTGCTATGGAACAAAAAGAGGATAACTCAAGCCTTGTGCAGCACCCTATCTTTTTTGCACTAAGGACTCCTTGTACTCAGGCTTGTATTGAGAGACTTCTGGTTCTAGTTTGTCACATGGAGCTGTGAAGACAATTTGTGGTTCACTGTCAAGGCACAGACCTTCTTGTGTACTCTCTTCAGCTAAATGCTGAGCAGTCACTCTGTTGCTGATCACAGCCTATCATGCGCAATTCTACAGTGAACAATTGTATGTGCCAATCATGCAGTGAGGCATTCTTGCTGTTGTGTGGAAATCTTGGATAGGGACCACTAGATCAAGTGTCTATCTCTCTCTGAGGCTGGCAATCATGCTGCTTTCTAAAGTTACACTAAAGAGGCTCCTACCAGCACTGTCTATTAACCAAATGTTAAAAATGGGCAAATATGGCAAGTAAAACATGGATATACTTTTCAATTCGTATTTCTTTGGAAGTTAGTCTAAAGAGCATTCATATCTTTGCTACATAGCCACCTCTTAAAAGTATGTCAGTACTAACCCAATGAGACTACAGATTACCCCTATTTATGTCTTCTGAGACATGCTTGTTTGGTGGGAGGGGGAAAAAAACATCAGGAAAAGTGTCAGTTTGAGCCAGGCGGTGGTGGCGCATGCCCATAATCCCAGCACTCGGGAGGCAGAGGCAGGTGGATCTCTGTGAGTTCGAGGCTAGCCTGGTCTACAAGAGCTAGTTCCAGGACAGGCTCCAAAAGCTACGGAGAAACCCTGTATCGAAAATCCAAAAAATAAAAAAAGAGTCAGTTTGGAGCTTAGATATGCTCTAAATGCTAGAAGGGATATGGGACACTGATCTCACAGCTGTAGGAAGTGAGGCTTGAATCCCATCATTCAGGGTCACACCATGCAATCACCATGACAGGAAGATTATTTACCTGCCGTTGTTCACTGTTGGCATTTTCATCAATCCGTACATAGGTGAGATAATGGAAGTTCAAGAACATCTCTAAAATGTCCAGCATAAGAACCATCTGAGATAAAATTAATACTCGACGTCCTTCAGATTTCAGTTTCTGTAGCAGGATTGCTAAAGCTTCTAACTTCCCTAAAAAAAGGAAGGAAGGAAGGAAGGAAGGAAGGAAGGAAGGAAGGAAGGAAGGAAGGAAGGAAGGAAGGAAGGAAGGAAGAGGGTCATCATCCAGAACAAGTGTATGTCACTTCATAATCCATGACAACAGAGTCTGTCATACCTGAGTCGAATTGTACCAGCCTCAGCTCTGGGAACTGCAATGAGCGCAGTGCTGTCAGCTGCTGCAGCTGCCGGTGGTAGGGGCGGGTATGTTCTCTCAGGCACTGCCTCAGAGCTCGCAACCTGCTGCTATACAGTGAAGGTGGCCTCGCCACCCACAGGGAGGGTGGCGTAGCCACTACTGGAGGAATCACACAGGCCACCCTGAGGAGCAGAAATCATGTGTGGTTATTATGTGCCAACCTTGTAGCCTCTGGCAAAAGCAGTGAGGCTTCTAGCCAAGGACAGAACTCTCTGACAGTGTGTATTGCCAGACAAAAGAAGTCTACGCTCCTGATTCTATCACTACAAGGTAGCATAATCTTTCACATTTAAATGACACCACTCCAAGAAACTTCCATCAGGACAGGTCTAAATGATTAGCACAGAGCATTCTCTAGACCATAGCCATTGGCTCAGATATTCTTGCTGGGTCTCTTGGGACAAAAGTAAATTGTCTCTGGATGCAAACCTTCTAAATGCTGCAGGTACATGTAACTGAGAAGGGCCAGACTCAGAATATGCTGCAGATAGAACAGCAGTGCCATGGCCAACTTGACACTACCTGCTAAACTCCAGTCAGCTACACCAGAAAACCTTCCCCTGGGCATTAGCCGAAACTCAGGGGTTTTTTTTGTTTGTTTGTTTTTTTGTTTTTTGTTTTTCGAGACAGGGTTTCTCTGTGGCTTTGGAGCCTGTCCTGGCACTAGCTCTGTAGACCAGGCTGGTCTCGAACTCCCAGAGATCCGCCTGCTTCTGCCTCCTGAGTGCTGGGATTAAAGGTGTGCGCCACCATCGCCCGGCTGAAACTCAGTTTTAAATTTTATTTATTTACTTACTTTTAATATTTTTTATTTTATTTAGATGGGGTAAAATAACTCTGGCTGGCCTAGAGCTCCCTCTGTCTCTCAAGTGCTGGAATTAAAGGTGTGCACTATCATGCCCAGCTACTTTTATTTTTAGTTATGCTTACACATGTGTCTATGTATGGGTTTGTACATATGCATGCAGTGCCTTTAGAGACCAGAAGACGTCAGAGCTCCTGGAACTTGAAGCACTTGTGAACTCCTTAACATGGGGGCTAGGAACCAAACTGAGTCCTCTATAGAAGTAATATGGCTCTTAACTTCTTAAATTGTCTCTCCAATCCCTGAAGCTGGGTCTTGGTGGTTTGCTCCCAAGTACATTTCCACTGAAGTGGTTCTCTGTGATGTATAAAGACAACCAGCATTTCCAAGAAAAACAAAGGCATGAGAACAAATGGCTGCAAATCTAGCACACAACCTGGGAAGCCCTGACATAGGAAGGGTTCCCTGCCCTTTTCTTCGCTAATTCATTGATCTGAGACCTGAAAGGCAGGCTCTGAACACTGAGCTCAGGCACTGGGTAATCAGGGCCTTCCTTTGGACAGGGATTAACTACACAGTTCAGTCAAAGAAAATGAGCCAGAAGTTGAGCCTGGAGAGCAGGGCCAGGGCATACAGAAACTCGCACAGAGGGTCAATAGTCTAAAACAGAAGCAGAGATATCAAGGCCTAGCAGGAATAGTGTGATGACAGTGGCACCCAGCCCACTAGCACTGGTCTACTAACTTGTTCTGAATTCTGTTCTTCAATGTCCCCAAGTAGCATATGGCTAGTTTTCTGGGTCAGTTTTCTAAAAGAGTTAGCTAATAGCCCAATAACCAGGTTCTCTTGTCCCAAAGACAGAGATCCAAAACCATTTCAAAGCCCCAAGAAACTCAAAAGGACAACTTGGGGGAAAGCAATAGAAATAAGAACATTAAAAATATATAAAATAAAAAAAAGTCCAAAGAATGAAGTACTACAGGATGTGGTGACTCACACCAGCACTTGAGAGGAGGAGGCAGGAGCATCAGCAGTTCAAGGAAAGTCTAGGCCAGTTACATGGAACTGGAAGCCAGCCTGTGCTACCTGAGAACCAAAATTAAAAGAAGAAAATTGCTTATGTGTAGCAGAGTAAAAGAACAAAAAATAAAGGATAAAAAATATTTACCTGCATACACTAACTCACCTGTCAAGAACATCTTGAAGAGATTCTTGACACTGATCCAATGTCACAACCAGATCACCTTTACTTTTTGAGGGTGACATGTAACAGTTTGCTACTCTGGCACCTGTCCCAAGGTTGCTATCTAAAGACCAGCACAAAGGCCTCTTCCTTCTAGCAGGCAGGGAACAAATCCTGAGCAAGTCTCTGCCATACACTGGAGCTTGGGAACAGCGCCGCTCATTGACAAAATGCATCTGATCCAAGCGTTCCTTCAAAAGTCTGCTTTTTTCCTCCTTGATCATATCAGAAAAAAAAAAAATGACAAAAGAAAAGTTATTTGAGAAACAACCAGACAAAACCATTTCACTAAACACTTTGGGAACTATTATGCACACGTTCATTTCAACATCCATGGCCTACTTCTATGGACTACAAGCAGAAAAAAATAGAGGCAGAGAGCTTTCTCTCTCCTCCTCCCAAGATAGATAACAGAGGAAAAGACAAGACAAAGGGGATGAAGACCTTGATGTCTGCAATTAAAAGACCCAGGTCAATTTCTTTCATTGGGAATGAGTGTTAAATCAAGGCTCTAATTCAAAGAGCATGTGCATCTTTGAAATTCATTGAAAAGGACCCACGGGAATCTTGGCTGCCACAGAAAAGATCCTGAAACTGCCTGCCTCAACACTGTGCATTTCTCACCATGGGCCCCTGATCTAAGCCTTACCTGGGTGGGCCCTGCAGCAGGAGAAGCTGGTTTGGAAGCCAGCCCAGGTTCTCCAACAGTCATAGCGCTCACTGCTACTCGACCCGGAACACCAACTACAAATGTAAAAGCAAACAGCTGAAGGGAATGAGGGTGCAGTTTAATGCTAGAACACTTGCTTGGAATGCTTGAGGAGCACCATCCCTAACAACCTTACACTCCCTACCCCCAAAAGAAAAAAACAGACAGGAAAGCCAATATGTTTTTCATTCAAAAAGGTGGACTGCCAGGCCAAGGTTAGCTCCTGAAATCCCAAGAATATAAAAGGAGCTGGATCTAAGCATCTAGTGCATCAAAGCTACGTCTAGAACTAGAGTGAGGACTGTTCTGAAATAGACAGATCACATACCTGTCCCTGCCCAAGCCAGCCTCATATCCTCCTTTTCCTACACTGGTGAAAAACTACAGGTCATCAGCAAATAGTGAGTAATAACTCCTTGCTTGCCCATGAATCAAACCCACCAGTTCTAATATACTGAGCACATCCAGGCAAGAGTTGGGACTTAGAGAAGTGGGCAGAAAAAAGGACAGAAGCTGAAACCCAGCAGCATTTGGGCAACAGTCAGCTAGAGCAGTGTGCAAAGCCTGCACCAAACACTCTACTCTCAGGGAGCTCTAGGCAAAGTTACTAAACATTTTGTGCATCCTAAGTTTTCTTTGTGTGTGTGTGTACACATACATACACATACATATATTATATACAGAATATATACATATAATACAAACATATAATATATAATAAAGTTTTATTTTTATTAATATA